ACTTTGTTATGGTTCTTTTACCATCACATTGTTATGCTTAATCTTCTTAATTGTTAATTACTACCTCCGGCCCTAACTATTAGATCTTATTTGTAGATTATAAACAAAGTCATATAATTATGACAAGAGGTAGTATAGTAAGTTAGTTATTCAAAAATCATAATAGGTAACAAATTTCTCACACACATATCTCAAGAAGTTTGTGAGGCACCCCTCCAATGTTTGAGGTCAAAAAAAAGAAGATCCCTCAAATATTAAGGTTATTGGTTCGAAACTTCATAAATGGAAGAGGAAAAGACCACTAAGAAAGCTGCTCGACAATATTTAAATTTAAACTGATGATACCTCTGTCCAAAAAAAAAAAAAAACTGATGATACCAAATATCAAATATTGACAAAGTTATCAACATGCAATGATTGGGCGGGAGGGGACACAATACTCCTTTACGTTTTTTTTTGTTTATTATCATTTTCAAAAATTACTATTAATATCTTTTGTCTTTTATATTATTTTTAACAAAATATAGAATTATTTTTATCTATTATTTTATTTTATTTTTAAATCTCGAGAATCAAATGGATATTAGAAGATCTAATGAACAAAATATTAGTTTACGAAAAAGAAAAATAGATAAGCCTCCACGGGCATTCTTTGGGGCGTTCTCTCTTTTTGATACAGGTAAAACTTAAATCAGGTCCCAGAAAAAGACATCAAATACGAGGGGCATGAGCGCCTAGCCATGCCACATAATGAAGAAGAAAGAGGGGAAGGGGGGGGGGGGTAAAGGCCCCACTAAGTATGATATTTTTGGGTGACAAAAATGGCCAATGAACAATGAGCCTGAATATTCAATCATCAGAATTCAATCCTTCCGAAGGAAATAAATGAAATTTGCGTAGCTTAAGTTTTGACTAGTCCTCACTCATTTGATACACAATTTTGAATCTGCGGGGCGGGAGGACACTGACGTTAGGGCTCAAGCAACAAGCTTAATCGTTTCCCCCTTACCACCAAAATAAAAAAAAAAAAAAAAAGCTGATCCTTTCACAAATTCAGCACTATATTCGTGGATTCCTTTTTTTTTTTTTTTTGTTATGAATTAAAGGGATACATGTTAGCAGCTTAAGCTTATAAACAGGATCGAACCACAGCCTCACTTCCCACCAATAGAACTTTCATGCCAATACGGCCACTGGCTAGTATTCCTTATTTGAAGGCATAACTTCTCTCATATGAGAATTGCCCTTTTACTGCCGTTGGCTGGGATTCCTTATTTGAAGGCATACTTCTCTCATATGAGAATTGCCCTTTTAATTTTGGATCACCTGGAAGTCCCTGATGACAGAAGCTTTGCACCCTTCCTATCAAAATTTGCAAGCAAGGCCACACATGGTAGCCCACACATGGTATATTTCATGGAACCTGCTCAGCCTAGAATGCAACAGATGATAGATCCAGCAACAGCGTCATCACATGGCATTCATGTGCTCTATCTTCCAGACAATTATAGCGCCAAGGTCTATGCCTGTGGTTCTTGAAGAAAGTTACCAAAAGACCTCACCAGGCCACCAGTGACGAGTAAACAACGTTGTAGTGCTTGAGAGAGAGAGCTGAAATCAGCATCTTAGTCACACCGCAGAATGAAAACATGGATTATTTCTTCATTGAGGTCGCTAAAAGATAAAAGGACCACAAGACAACCGAAGTAGAACGAATAAAAATACATGAACAGCATACCCACACTACAACTTGCATTTATTTCCATTAAAAGGAAATAAGATAGGTAGAGAATATAGCTTTGCCCAGAATCAAAAAGTAGCATTGTTTATCAAAGCAGTGGCACCCATCCTACTCCATGCGCAACTTCAATTACAGAGCACGAAATTTTACTGGTTAAAATTAGTTACAGTTTTGCAGCCAAAACACGAGACCATAAGAGAGCAGCACAAAAACCAACTTGATGATTACCGAAAGTTATTTGCTCATCTTAGATCATAATGTTCATGCTCTTCAACAAATACAAAGAACCTACTTCAGCTTCATGACAACTTTCACAAATTCGTGAGAAAAATCCGAAGGCCAAATGAGCTTAAGGTATTAAGTAAATGTAACTCCCTAAAATGGTTATTACCAGAGAATGGGGTCGAAGGAAAACCTTGTGTTTGCTCGAAGGTGGTAGCATCATATTATAATTCCTCAGAGCATTACACTATGAACGGGTTGCACCACAAGATGACTGGACAGGTACATAAGGTTCTAGGTGTTACAAAATTAGGGAAAAAGAAGGAAGACAAACATCCATTTGGCCCATAAATCTCCTTGAACAAAGAGTGGCAGCATACCCACAAACAAACACAAATCATATTCAGTTTCATTAAGATTCTTTACAGAGATTTACAGGACCATCAAGTGAATATCCAAGGCCCAAGATTCCTTATCTGTTCAAGACATGGAAAAGTTCAACCAAAACCCTTCCCCAAAAAATGCTCGACGGTTATTAAACAACTCTAAAGAAGGGATTAGCTTTAAAGAGAATGACAATTTAACTGGAACTAAACTAGTACAAAAATAAGGGATAAGCATGCTATTATCGGTCTGAATGTCATGTCACGTGACAAATATTAATCAGTAAAGCCTTAAGTATAACATAATGCATACAGCGATCAACTTAAGAAAATCTCATAAAAAAAATTTACTAAGAGCTCGAGAAAAAAAGGAAATTGATTCATCAAAATCACCCCCCAATTAACTAAGAAAATTTCCAGTAGTGTTGTTATTAAACTAAGCAGGAGTTGTTTAGTCATTAAATTATCACTCACAGCATATAATTACCTCATAAAGGCTATATTACAGTAAAGAGGCATGATACCTTGCAAGTAGCATTCTCCTACAAGCAATTTGAGCCATTTTGCCTGGCAAATTTTGCATCCCTTGAACAGAACAAACAATTTACATCTTAAACCCAGGGAAATTTCAAAGAAATCACCTATAAACTACTCATGCAGAGCCATAATCAATTAATCATGAGACAAAGGAAAAATAACTTCATCAAATGCCGAATATGTTCAAATCCTATAGGCTATTTTCTCTTATCCTTCAATTGAAAAAATAAGTTGCAAGTTTATGATCCCCGCCCAACCATCGAAATCAGTATGCATCCATAATATTTAATATATAAATAGAAACTGCTTGAGATCATACATGATCGCATAGATCCACCATGCCATTTTGCATATGGTAAAGAGATAGGAGAAGTTTAAAAAATACCAGGGCTAACAATTCTTGAAATCTGATCTGGCCAGTGTCTTACTGATGATGTACCAAGAACGGAAAGAAAGATCATGCACCTCCCCCCGCACAGGAAAGAATAGCATTTATAATATGATACGCCATCATGAGAATTTAATATCATGTGAATGGCTATCCACTCATAATTTCAAGTGCAACAATTGCTCATAAAATTTACAGGTCATGGACCATGAGAAAGATGGGCAGGCGGATACAAAAAAGTTACCACCATTTAGTATAAAACGAGAATTTGGTCATACCTTTGATGTTGACCCTAAACACTGGTGCACAAGTACAGGATATGTAGAGTAAAAAAAACTGAGAAAAAAGAAACCACGTTTGAATTTTGAACACAACATTTCTCATGACATGTGATGAATGTTTTAATTTAGAAAACTTCGATGTCAATTCACAAAAATAAACTCCCAGTACCTGAAGTTCACTCTCATGTTCGTCAATAAGTATATTCTGTATATGCTATTGATTTTTCTTTTGAAGAAGTCATTGCTGGTCCACTGCAGACCCATCAGCCTGTTAAATCTTGTTATTATTCTTTCTTTAGTGGTCCATTCAGATAGACTTTAAGTGGTTATGAATTTATGATCTACGGTGTTTTAATCTGCGGAACAAATTTATTGTGCCAAAACATGCATCCTCCAATTCTTCAATTACTTTACTTCCCAAAACGTAACTTCTATTACGAACGCATTATCAGTGCAAAAGTAGCAATATTAAAATCATGCATGCAGTGTTGCTAGGTTTTAAGGGAAGTTTTATCGTATTACCATAAGATCAATAATGCTATATGGGTAATACATGCTAGGTATTGGAAGGACAAAAAGAGCAAAGAGTTGAGGTGGCAAAGATAATAAGGATGTTTTGCAGTGTTATACAAGAAAGAAGACAGGATTTGGGATTATATACAGGAAAAGTTGGTGTGGCATCTATGGATGAGAAAATAATAGATAATCCTTTAAGGTGATTCGGACCAATAGAGGCATCAATAAGGAGGGTGGAGCAAATAACCTTTAGCCCAATGAAGAGATGTAAAGGTACGCCAAGAAGGACAACCAAGAAAGTTATGTATTGGTGCATGGTATATTTAAAGAGTTAGTTGTAAATAGAGGATGATAGTATTGTGAGATACATGTGACCGAGACCTTATTTAGTGCATGGCATAAGGATTACTGTTGTTGTTATGCAGTGTCCAATCAATTGTCATTTTGCATTACAACTATGAAGTAGTAGGGAAACCATCCTACTAATTGTTTATTTACATTTATTTGAACTTCGGATCAACATCACTACATACGTGGATAACAAACTCACACACAAAATGCTCATAACTTTGTCTCTCTCTAACAATTTATATTTGTGCTCTTTTCATTAGCTACTGGAAGCAATTATCTTTCAGAGCCTTAAGCTCCCATACAACTGCTCATAGGAGAGAAGATATTACTCAAGTAACCATACCCAATTGAATTGCCAAATGAATGCTTAGAGAAGAGTACATTAAAACCTCTTCCCCCCATTTATATTTGTCACCCTTATTGGTCACTATCAACAATTTTCTTTCAACGAATCTGAAGCTCCCATGGAACCGTCCATGGGAGAAGACACTGACCCAAGCAACCTATCCATGGGAGAAGACGCTGACCCAAGTAACCTAACCCAAATGCATTGCCAAGGGTATGAAGTTCACCAAGTGATAAGGGAATATTTGAAGGCAATACTGAATCAAAATAAGCAAGGCCAAAATATCAACACTTTTCAGTTCCCGCTGGAATTACAACATAATTGCTATTTGCCACATCTTAGCAAGAAAACATTATTAAAATAAATATTCTGTGTTCTTATTCTTTAACTGATTTATTTTATTTTCCTCTACTCTTAATAGTAAGCTAACATCTAGTTTAACCTTTTCTCTGTTTATCCTAAAAGTAAACTAACACATGTGATTTATCCATCATATGGGCTCTATTCATTCTACAATCTAAACGGCTTCTCAAAGGAACAAAATCTTGGAAGAACCTCATCCTGAACACCGCATCTCATGAAATATGGAGATAAGCAATTCGTCACCAACGATGGCCCGCAACTGTCCTAAGAAAATTTCTTTGGCCAGCTTTCCAGCCTATAACATGCCACAGAAGATTTCAAAGAAGAATGTTATTCCTTCAAAGTCACGAAATTATGAACAATATGGAAATATGAGCACGTGTCCAATAACAACAAACAGCTTACCAATGCAGAACGATATAGAGTAATAATTTCCTTGAGTTTGAGGGAAGGAATACGACCATTCATCTTCCTCAATAAATTGACAAGCGTATTCTTTGCTCCCAATTGACCTAAAAAAGGTAAATTAAGGGATCAATTTCAGATAAACTACGCATTATGGAAAAAAGAAAGGGGGGATGATTACCTGGCAAATAAGCAGAGGATTTGAAGCTAATGACATACTCTGGAAGTATATGGCTGTTCATGTTACTGCTCCACAACATACATACCACTTAGGATTTAAAGGATCGTCAGCTCCTGTATCATACTCCACACTGGAAGGGCGACACTGTTGAGACCCAGCAGTCACTTTTTCGATCTTTCCCAAGATAACACGACAAAGTATAATATGTTTTTCACCGTTATTATCCACTTCAGCTCGCATAGCACTAAACAAAATTCACCTATTTAGTTGGAAAACCAAACCAGTAATGTTTTTTTTTTTATCACAAAAAAGCACTTTAAATGACTAAATAGTTACCTTAGTTGAGGTAAGCCTAAAGGAGACAAATGTATACCAATTCCATAAGCAGGGTACATAGCTTTCTCAGACAATACAAATCCATGAGCTAAAATGGCCGCCACTGTTTCTGCTGATGCTGCATACCAAGCATATACTGCATTGGACACACCTCGAGTAGCTTCTTTACTTTTGTTATGCCTCTCAAAAATTTCGCTACGGTCTTTCTCAAGTGGCCCCAAGAATTCAAATTGATGAATTGAAGAAATAGTGACTCCCCGAAAAGCTTTGGACATCTCGGAGAGAAATATGAAACTCACGAATGAATACGCGTTTTCTTTCTCACTAAGCAATTTTGCATTGGGCCATTTAGAAGTTTCCAAACCCAAAGAGGTAAGCCTCTGCCGCTTGAAACCAAGTACTTGACTTTCATCTTCTTGCTTGTTAATCTTGACCGATGAACCCACCTCGCTGCTTGTCCCATCACCACCTAAATCTAAATCATCTAACTTTCTCTTGCCCGAAATCCCATCAATCCGAATTTCAACCTCAATTTTGGGAATTCCTGAATTCTCCAATCCATCCATAAAATACTCATCAACAAAGATATGGGGAAAGAACGGTTTACCATCTTCATCGATCCAGGCAATAGATCTCTGACTCCCGGATCCAAAATCAATCTGCACCATCCGCAGAAAGTCAAATACATACTTGGACCCTCCAATGATCACCTCCAGTAAAGGCTTTCCCGCCAGGAACCCAGCTCGCAAAGGCTCAAGCACTTGGCTCTGAAAATCAACCCAGGACCCTCCACGGTAGAACATGAAGCGGTCAGGCGCAGCACTGCGCTTGAAACTGCTGTGGTTGTGAATCATCAACCGGGCACAAGAAGAATCAGAGAGGCGGCTGCATCGGACCACAGGGTTTGCCTTCTCAGTCAGCAAAGACGACAAAGACGAATTCAATGGAACCCTTACCGTAACCGATTCAGCCATTTTCGTCTGGTTCATTGTCTGGAGGCCACGGATTCTACGTTGCTCTGGAAATTGAAACAACTATCTCAAGTCCTCAACGCAACGGATAGAATCAAAGGATCAGATTAATGGCACGGTGTCATTATATACGCATTCGGCGTCGTCATCAGCGGAAAAGTCCAAAATGCCCCAATAACCGCAGCGGATTGCCACGGGCGAAACAAATGAAAAAGAATGATGTAATATTTGTGTGAGGGGAGGGCTATTTTGGTAGTTCGGGAATGCTTCTAGATTATTGTTGTTTATTAGTGCGGCGTTTTGTGAAAGTGGGAGCCAAAAGTCAATCGCGGGAAAGCGTTTCCCAGGAAGCCGGGAAGAAGGGCGGCTGGCGATATTCGCTAAAATGACTTGCGGGCCAAGTAGAGAGAGACTTTAAATAATGCCAAGTGAGAAACGGGCCTATCTTACTCTCCTCTTTTCTTCGGCCCAAAGCAAATGTGGAGAAGAGGACAAGAGAACAACGGAGAGTCCCATTCACCGTAAAATTTTGACTTTGACTATTATATTGTTATATTTAAGTATGAATTGTAGACAATCATATTATTATTAAAAATCATAAATTATAGATTACAGTAATAATAATAATAATAGTTGCGTATTTGTGCGCGTATAGGTGGGAGAGTGAGCACGGCCAGCTAAATTGAAACTTGAGAGCAGCATTTATTTATGTTCTTCAAATGCAAATCATTAACTTGAAAAACGATCAAGTGTATGTTCATGTATTTATCAATCAAAAAGATGTTGCAAATCTTAATATAAGATATATTTTGTAGAATAATTTGTACTACAAAATATGTCTTAGAGGAGCAACTTACTTCTACTTTAAAAAATATTTCTTTTTTTTTTCCCCAAAAAAATCGCTGGGCAAGGAGTTATTTCCTTCTAGTTTTGTATTTTTAAGAAAAGGAAGCACATCATTAAGATGATAGACCTAATATTTTAAGAGTATTTGAATGAAAATCAAATCACAATTTTAATAGTGATTTTATAAAGTGAACATATTTTTTAAAAGTGCTTTTAGAAGATGTTTGGATAAAAATTAAACTATAATTTTAAAAGTGATTTTATATAGTAAAGAAGTATGTAAACAAGTTTTATCTTAATTTTTTTTACTAAAATATAAATATTCTCTTATTAGAGATAATTTTAGTCGAGAGACTATTAATCATTTGTTCAAGTTTAAAAGTGATTTTTTTTTTTTAAACTAGACATGAGCACCTCTCCATTTTTCTCTCAACTTGCATAAGCATAATTTTTAGAAGTGTTTGTGGGCTAATTAGTTTTGGTCTGGGCCGCTAGATTGGCCCGCCATTTGTATTTGTTAGGTCAGTCGAAGTTCCTCCGTTTCCGGTTTGCGCGGCTCTTCTCCGATCGTCGACTCCTGGCGCGCGGGGAGCTAAAGCCTTGCCTTCATTGAGTCTATTCACTGTCCTTATTAATTTAACGATAATCTTCGACGCCTCATGAAGTGTAGGGTCGTACGCGGATCTTGACCCTGAAATTCTTTTCATGGTATCTTTTTCTAGGAAGTTACCCTGGCAGTATGTTGGTGTAAAGAAACGGCGATTTTCTTGGTTCATTTCTTATCATAGCGTTGAGGAGTTCTCACAATATTGATAGTAATCGGGCTACAAGGTATTTCCTCAGCCACCTACCTCGGTGTTTCCTCTCTCTCATTAACGGGGATTTTGTAGTGCGTTCTAGGCTTCTAGCACTGAAAATCAAGTTACATACTTTGAGTAATGCCTCGAATTCTTTCTCAAATGGCGGTAAACTTCTTGTTAGAATATCCATTATTAGCTTATTTTTCGCTTGGACCACTGTCGGAAGTGTTATTGATTTTTGGCGCCATAATATGCTGTGAAACAAGTTAACAAATAGAGTTGTCCGCTGCTCTGTTGCAGCTTTTATGTGCGCTTGAAGCTCTTAACATGTTCCAGGCAATTAGTTGATGAGAGAGGATGGTCATGGGCAGAGTTGAACTTTGGAATTACAGTGATGAATTTACATGAAGCGCTCCTACTATGTACTTTATAAAAGCATGAAGCTTGGTAGTCAAATAGTTGAAGAAAGGCATGTGCATTGAAATTTTTTTTTTTTTTTTTGGCATTTGTGGAGGCAAGTTTATTAGCTAAGTAAGGGCACGGTTGACTCCTTAGTCCTTTCTTTTAGAAAGTTACTGCTAGGCTGGATGAGGTTGTCATTCTTGGTCAGCTAGACAAGGATTGTTTTTTTCCCTTTTCCCTTTATTTATCGGATCAGGTGGATTTCATTTGGGGCGAGTTACGATAGGTGTATAATGTGTACATAGCATAAGATTTTAGAGAACCATATCATGTTTTTAATGGTTTTAAATATATTAAAATTGGTTTTACTTTTAAGGACATATTTAATATCAAATTTCCCGTATTTTGCTATATATAGACACACAGACAAATCCACATGCACACCCAGTCATCAATCTTACGAGTCTTGCATCATGTGATATTTTGGTTTCTAGATATTGCTAACGTGTACTTTAAATTTGTCTTCTAGTTGTAATAGGGGTGGCGTTATTTCCATAGCCATGTCACTTCCACTGACACCGTCTAAGAGGCCAAGTGATAGGAGCCTTGTAGAACCAAATGGGAAGGGGAAGTGGCAGAAGACAGCAGGCTCTCATGTGCTACCAAGTCAACCGTTTAAAGTGTCCCCTGGAAGTGTTGTTTTCCGTTTACTCTGTCCTGCATCTAAAATTGGTTGTGTTATTGGAAAGGGCGGTAGCATCATATCAGAAATTCGTCAGGAAAGCGGTGTGAAGGTCAAAGTTGAGGATACTATTCCTGGATGTGATGAAAGAGTTATTACGATTACTGGCTCTGATAAAGAGACTGGAGAAGATGCTGTGCAGAATGAGAGGGTTCATAGTGAAGGGACAGATAATAAGGGGAAGGATGATGAGACAATAAATCATGGGGATGATAATGAAAATGAGGATTCTCTTCCCGTAGAAGATTCAAATTGTGAGAAGGGGACTCCATCTGTTCAGAAGGCTCTATTTCTTGTGTTTGAGAGGATTGCTGAAGGAGAAGAGGAGAAAACTGAAGGTGATGGAGAAGATACCAAGTCTTCCTTTGTTTTGAGGCTACTGGTCCTTTCTAATCAAGTTGGTTGCCTTCTCGGAAAGGGTGGCAGTGTAATCAAACAAATGTCAGCTGACAGTAAGGCACAGATTCGGATTCTTCCTAGGGATAAACTCCCTTTGTGTGCATCAGCTTCTGATGAGCTAGTTCAGGTAAATTTTGGTGATGCTGTCTAACAATGCAGCAGTCACAATATTAATGTTTTACTGCCACATCAGTTTATATCAGTGCCAATCATAGTAGGCAGATTGTGATTCAAATCATGAATCAGGAGAGTGATTTTTAAATGATAAATTGTATCGAATCGTACAATTCAAATGTGCTATGAAAATAGGTTGAATTTTATCATATAAATGATGCATACCATAAAAAAGCTAGATTAATGACAATTAATAGCCATGCAAAGGTGAAACATAGAGGAAGGTGTGCAGAGCCAATTTTCAGAACACCAAGAGCTGTTTCTCCTTGGAAATTGGGTGCATCTAACACCAACAACAGCCCTCTTGGCATGAAAAATGTTTCTGAGAAATCAAGGTCGATTAATGATAATTAATAGCCATGCGAAGATGAAACATAGATGAATTGGTGCAAAGATGTCCTCGTCCTACTGCAGGCTGAAAAGGCTCCCCCTTCTCTGAACTTCAGTTGGTATTATAATTCGAGGTGTCAATATTTTAGCTGCGGTATTTATGGAGTTAAATATTTTTATCAATATTTGTCAGAAGTTCTATACTATATTTAATAAAAGAAGTTGATATCAACACTACTGTGTGATCTTTTTTTTCATGTGCATATTTAATTGCTTGAGTACATAGGAGGTTGAACTCTGAAAAAGGTAATCCTAATACTTGTTTTAAAATCTGCATGTTTTCTCCCACAGCATTTTTCATATTTATTCCATTCTGCAGATCACAGGGGAAGTCGAAGGTGTGAGAAAAGCTCTTCAATCTGTTTCTCAACAGCTGTTGGAGAATCCACCCCGGGATTATGAACCTCTAATATCAAGCGCTACCGGGTCATCTCATTCATTTGGTCAGTTGCCTCCACCCAGCCGTTCCTTTGGTGTTCAAGGAGGGCCTTATACTGCTGGATCTCGTGATATTCCTGACTTTCACTCTGCTCCTCCTCCTCTACTACCCAAATTTCATGAAGGTATTCATGGTCGAATGAGGTCTTCACAGGACATGCTGACTTTTCGTTTATTGTGTCATGCTGAGAGGGTAGGAAGTATAATTGGTAAAGGTGGAGCAATAATAAAGACTGTGCAACAAGAGACGGCAAGTGAAATCAAGGTTATTGAAGGTGAATCTGATTCAGAGGATCGCATTATTGTCATATCTGGCCCAGCGGTATAATGCAACTCTCTTTTTTTCTCAAAGTTTTATTGGGCTTGAGCAAAATTTTTTGTTTCACTAAAAAAGCTTTTATAATTTCAGCACCCAGATGATAGAATATCTCCTGTGCAAGATGCAGTGCTTCGTGTGCAAAGTAGGATAGTCAGAGCCATACCTGATGCCAAAGAGCATAGTATGTTAGCTAGGATTCTTGTTTCCTCCAATCAAATAGGTTGTCTCCTTGGCAAGGGTGGTTCTATCATAACCGAAATGAGGAAGTTGTCTGGGGCCCATATTCGGATATTAGGAAAAGATCAGGTCCCAAAGTGCGCTTCAGAAGATGAAGAAGTGGTCCAGGTGTGTTTGGTTTACTTTAATCTGTCTCTGTAATTTAAATCTACCTTTTATTTTTACATGGTGCACTATTTATTTTAATTAGTTTGGTTAAATTAAACCAGCCTACCCTGGATTTCAGTGATATAGGTGGACCTCTGCATTTTCAAGCCTTCTCTAATTTTCAGCACTGTAATGCAGGAATTTTTACTTGTATGGATTCATTGGGATGAGGAACTGTTCTTTGTAGGTCATCTGGGTTGTCAAAATAATGCACTCATAATTAATTTAGATATTTTGTTCTTTCTTTCTACAAAAAATTATGTTTAAATATGTTGTCAATGCTATTTAAGTTATGCTTTATGCTTACTTCATTTAGGTACTTATCCTTCTTCTTTCTCTGCCAGATAAGTGGGGAAGCTGAGGCAGTGCAGGATGGTCTTTTGCAAATAACCACTAGATTACGGCATCATTTCTTTCGTGATGCATATCCGTCGATCAACTATCCCTCAAATCCTGCATTTCTCGATCAACTTCCTCCCTTCCCACCGTACATGGGAAGGAGGGAACTTTCACCTCCTGGAATGTATTCTAACTTAGGTCCTCCATTTCACAAGTTTGATGCTATTGGTGCTCCACCTCCTCATGGTGGTTTTCCCCATGATGATCGCCCTCCTTTTATGCATAATTTGCCAAGACCTGGTGTTCCTCCCTACTTATCTGAAAGGAGACCTTGGGGTCCTCAGGTATAGATTGTTTGCTTTGTTCTGTTCTTATTGTGGCTTTCTGCTTCCTTTTCTAGTTTATCCGTCTTTGCATTCGGGCTGTCTTCTCTGATACTTGGGGCAGCATATGGAAACCAGTTTCTGAAAACTAAACTTGGAAAGAGTCGGAGGAGCAGCAGTCTAACATGAGTGATGTAGGGATCAGAATAATTTTATATTTATATGATAATGATTTTAGTGAAAATATGAATGTATTTGTTTGGTGATGTATTCTCTTGCTTTTGAAATTATTGATTGTTTAAAGAGCGTTTAGTTATTGTTGTTAGATTTCTAATAAAGATTTAGCGTGTGACGGAACTTTTATGCATGATCCAATTATGTAGTACTAACATGAAAACTCTCAAAACTTTACTGGATAACCCCACGACAAACAACTAGAACCTGTTCCAAACTTTTTTCTTTCTTTTGTTATCATTTACTTATACACACGTACCCCAGAAAAATAATGGAAATCATTTTCACTATTGAGAGTCTGAGAAAGCCTCGTTCAATCTCCATTAGAAACCTTTTTCTTTTTTAAACAGAGCAGTATGCCTCAGTGTGAGTCTGAGAAAAGAAAAGCTATTCACCTAGTTCGTATTCCTTGAACTTTGGATCAATCCTTGCCTTTTAATGGTCGATTTAAGGAAATTTAACTGGTTAGAATAAACCTATCTTATTAAAAGTCTACAAAAGGGCTGGACTAATATGTGGACAAATTATTTACTTTAGTCAAGTTGGCCTACTATCCAACATACGGAATTTAGAAGGGGAAAAAAGGCATACTGTGCTTTGGTTGAGAGAATTCGTTATGTTTTGCATCTTATGTTTCCTAACAATGATATGTTAGCATAACCCTTTGATTTGATCATATTATATAACTGGTTTCTAGGGGCTACATGAAAGTAGCAGACCCATGGGCATGCCAGATTTTGTAGGAGGCCCACCCAGAAGAATTTCAGGATTTTCAGGGTTAGTCCATCATTGCGAATATTATCCTTATCACTACTTTTCAAATCTTTTTCTCGTAATACTAGTTTTTCAACAAGAACTGGTAATTTATTGTGTAGAGTAAGCCAACAACCAATCATCACTAGCACCACAGTTGAAGTAGTTGTTCCTCGTGCTCTAGTGCCTGTAATATACGGGGAAGATGGGGAATGTCTGAAACAAATTCGTCAGGTAAGTTTTTCTAATTGATATCCTGATGTCTTATGTTGATGGATGCCAAAGAACCATTGCCTAGTGAATCCAGTGTATTGCTAATATGATATTAGTTTCGGGTGTTTTTCTATGAGATGTTTTTTCTACTCTCCTTAATTGGCCGGAGTTGGAAGGTACAACACAATCCACACCTGCATTACTATGCTTTCACTCACATGTCCATGTCTGTCGATGTCTATGCATATAACGAACCTATTTTCCAACATCATGGTTAGCCCCCGTGGGCGACAAAAAAAGAAAACGGAAAGGAATTACAAATAAAAGTTCCCACCTGTTAAAGACTGGAAATCTAGGTCGTTTCCCGTTGTCTTTAGACTACTTAATGTTAGTTGATGATCTGATCTGCAATATAATCTGTGCTTCCAGTTCTCTGATGCAAAGATCACCATCACTGATCCAAAGCCTGGAGCAGTGGAGACTGCAATTATAATATCCGGAACTCCAGAACAAACCCATGCTGCACAGAGTCTTATTCAAGCATTTGTCATGAGTGAGAGTGAATCTGGCTAAGCCATCTCTCTGGGTAACACATTCAGTTTTTTTTTTTTTTTTTTAATGAAAAAAACTGGCAGTTGTAATTGCGCTAGTTGATATTCTTAGCGGTACTTATGTTGAGTTAAAATCTCTGACGGGAATGTTGTTACCACCTAGTGGGATAAGGCTTTGTTGTTGCTGTACTTGTGCTAGTTTATATGCTTAGTGGGGCTTCTATGGAGTTGAAAATCTTTATAATTTTGCCAAAAAAGAAATATGTTCATTAGACATGAGTTTCCAATCTTTTTGATAACCTATATTGAGTGTTATGATGCTTTAAAAGATCAAAATAAACCCAGTAAATTATAAACGGCTACATCTTTTGGTATCTGAGCACACAAATTGGTTTATTAATGCCTTTTCTGTGATGAGTTAACATGTGCACTACTTGTCAGATTCTTCCACGTTTTGTATGTTTTTCCAATTGAATCTAAATTAGCATTCCTCGCTTCCCACTCATCCCGAAAGGAAGGAACAAAAGAAAGGAGAGATAATAGTAGAGCATTTGATCTGCTGTGCCTATTCCAGTTCAGTAACCATTAAGGTATAAGCTTGACTTTAGAGAAATTAACTACTTGTAAACTTTATACGTATTAGGAGCTGTGATTGATTGATTTTTTTTTCTGTTCACAATAATCATTTATTGAAGGACTCAAACTTACTCTCACCTCTTGACATTTTCCACGATGCTATGGGCAATGCGGCAATGTGCGAGTGCGGTGGGGCAGTATGTCTATTGATTTTAAGTAAATATTTATGCTAGGTTTGGTATTGTCAATTCCATCGTAAGAGCTGATATTACTTGAGAAGCAGAAATGGGCAGGGAGAGCAATTGGTTCAGTTTCTGATTCCGTAACCTTTCTCCTTCCCTTACAGGATTTCATGACATGTTACTGGGGACAAATTTTGGCACTTGAGTATAAGATAGCTAGACTTTTCAAGTCTCGTCCTTGTTAATCAGATTCCATCAGGACTTAGTAGTGCATTTGTTATGTCTCCCATAGCCAAAGGCAAGTCAGTCACGAAATTCTTCTTTGGTTCCTGATTTTAATGCGATAGTTTTAGGATAAACTAGGTTTGTAGCAAAATCATTTATAAATCACAGTGAATTCGGTTATTGACACTGTCCAGAATTTTCAGTGCTATTGATATACATTTTCATGTAGACCCAGGCTGAAAGTTGGTTCCTACCGGACTGAATCCGTATTTTGAAATGATAGTGCTCCGACCTTCTAACCATCTTGGGGTTAGTTTTCACTGCACGCTCTACCCTAGGTTTGTTGTTCCTTCCCATGAGCAGTCGATAACCCTACATTATCCGTGGACTTGGTTGCAGTTTATTTTTAATTTCAAAGAGAAAGAAAAAGAAAGTGAGAGAGTATTGAAGACAATGTCACAGGGATCTAGCTTAACGAGCCATGATTATTGTTGAGCTTTGAAGGGCTGATACTTCTTGAGATCTTGAGCAAGGCCTTGGATGGATCCAGCAGCAGAAATGATGGAAACGACCAAGCAGACCCAACTCAATATCTTGAGCCAAGTCCATGTGAAGGAGCCCCTTTGTATTTTGGACTGCTTAATGTACATCTCTATGGGGAAATAAACGGTCAAAGGCCAGAAGGAGAGTGAGCCAATGAGACCCAAGAAGTCATTGAAGAATGGGAATATCATAGCTATCACGGCTGTCACAATAACATATGCAGTCCTCCACACGAGCCTGAAGAAGTTCAGGTAATATGTTCCTTCACATAGAGGAATCTTCACTGCGTGCTCCCCTGTTATAAATTTGCTCTCGGACCACTTTTCTTTGCTCAAGTTCTCTACGAAGCCGAATATGGGCTGACAGAATACCTGCTCCAATGAAATCCCATGCATGAGTTATAATATTTTAAACTGCATAAATCCAACTGGGTTTAAAGACTTGGAATGTTCATGCATCTTTTAATTTACCTGATATGCTCCAATCAAATGAACGGCTATGCAGACGTTGGCAAAGTCGATGAGCCAAAAGGGCTCGTAGAAGCCAAATCCTGTGAGGAAATTTCCAGGGGCATCATTTCCGAAAGCTGCATAACCTAGGCATCCACATAGGACGTAGAACAGGGTAGTGGTCATAATGCCAATCAAACTTGCTCTCTTCATCACTCTGTTCTCTGGAGGGCTTGATTTCAGGGTGTCCTGCAATAATCATATGGTCCCCACTTCTACGTTTCATTTGAGAGCCATGCTCCAATAAAAACACTTTCTACAAATAGATCCAACTTCTAAGAAATTTATGTGGGTGTTTTGTTATTTATTTCATTCATTAGGAAAGTTAATTTTGCGCTGAATAAGCAACTGCTTGTGTATGATTAATATAGATGGTTTACATAATCTATGTGAATTTTTTTTTTGGTGCAAGTTCACAGATTTTTTATTGTGATTAATATAAATGGTAAGCAGGGTGGAAGGAATTGATCCTTGCCACTTAAACTTACCAACCTACCTAACTCTTCCAGGCAACAAGGTGCTTTAGACAATTCATGATGAGTAGCAGCCAGATACAATTTAATGATGGAAATAAACCCAAAAAGGATGGTCGACCAAACAATTGGGAGTGTTGGATGGAACATAAAGCTAGTTGAGGAAAGGCCCTACATTTCCAGATCAATCTTCTTTTTCTTTTTCTTTTACATTTCTTTTAGAAAAAGTTTTTTTTTTTAAAAAAAAAAAATTTTGCCATCAGAAAAAGGTGTTATTGGAGCTAGCGGACGCGGTCCATCAATTTGATAATTCGTATATAAAAGGAATCTTACTGACACAGTAGTTATAGTTATTTGTTTAATTAAAAAAATGCTACATGTCTTCCTATAATGGAAGTAGAATTACTTTTGGCATCTATTAATGATATTTATTGGTAGAAAAGTTATGGGAAAGTGGGAGGAAAAAGAAGGATGGAGAATCTTTTGATTCTGATAAGAATAGATTCTTTATCTTTATGAGGGGGAAATGAATTGCATTTGGCAGAACCTTGTCTATACTAAATCTCTTATTCTCTAATCACCATCCTTGAAATTGAATGTCTTATTTTTACAATGATCGAATTATATGTATCTGCTTGGTTTCAAAGAGGGGGAAAAACAGTGAATCAGCAAAAAAGACTGGGTTAATTAGGACTATTAAAATGACCCAAAAAGAGAGCTAATTTGCTCTTCTTTAGGTTGCAATATGACTAAGGATGGCATCAAACCTCTGTTGTTTTTTCCCCTTTTTTTTTTTTTTTTAACTTTTTCCCAGCTAAGATGGTTTTGTATTCGTTCACTAGCCTAACTTTTTCTTTTTTTGCTGGATTGTTCACTAGCCTATTTATCACAAGCATTCTTGCAATACTTTTTAGAGCCACTTGCTTCTTATGGCACGTCCCAGGCCATAACTTCCGAATATATATATACTCCTTCGATCCTTATTATAAGACCCAATTTGACTTTTTATTTGGTCCTAATTATAAGACCCAATCCATTTTTTCTTTTATATTTATGCATTTTTTTCCAAGATAATCCTTTTAATAATGATAGTTTTAGCTAATATACTTAATTAGCAAAGATATTTTAGGAATAACAACACTTATTTATTATAAATAACCAACTTAACTTACTTCCTTAATCTCCTCAAATAAGTCAATTGGGTCTTATAATTAGGACCGGAGGAGTATATATATATATATATATATCTCTCTGTGTGCGTGCGCGTGTGTATCTTTGTCGTGACAACGCGTAAAGAAGGTAGAGCAAGTTAGCCTAGTGTTGCAGAGGATGCAGAGTGTGGTTCAATGAAAATGACACAGATTTTCTGTATATCAAAATCATTCGGCAAACATAGACAGACGAATGGATACATTTTTGGTTAATATGCATTTACTATCATCATCTTAGTTACAGACACGTGCATGTAAGTATTAAATCCAAAGATAAATTGTATTCCACCGGTTCTAAATATAAGGCCTATTTTATTAGGACCGGACGAAGTAATTTGTGATGAGCAAGACTTGTGATGTTTGGTTGTTTTATTCCGTCCAAATTTTGGCTTGTAAATGAAAGCTACACGTGTGAAAGAACCAGACGCGGTTTATGACCGAAACTTTTAAAATGCTACTATTATAATTGTCTTTCTTTCATCCAAAAACAGTCTTGCACGAAATAGAAATACGTCCAAATATCTTCACCTAATCACACCAATAATAGAGATATGTAGACACACACACACACAAAAGAATAAAGCTAGGCTATAGCACGCGGTACCTATTATATTTTGCGTAATTCAAGGGCTAAGTGCATTATAAGTATCGAGAAACAAAAAAACGATACTTATAGAAAGGAAGAAGGTAACTTGCCTGAATTTCGATGAGGACATTAGAAAAAGCATAAGCGAAGGCAATATCACCAATGGCTTGGAAGGTTCTCCAGACCTTCTCAGATGCCGACACGTCAACACCAACTTGCACTCCTGTTAAGGATGTTTGCACATGGTTGCCCTCTTCATGGTATCCACAAAAACAACTTTTTTTTATCAGAAAAGTGAAAGTAAACGAGGACCAATATATATAGTAACGCTTGGGGAAAAAAAAGCTGATACATGCTAAAAGACATAAAGTAGAAAAGAAATAAAGACAAGTTTACAGTGACTGTTGGAATTTACCTGCGATTTTAGCTATGGAGAGTCCAAGGCCAATGGAAGAATAAGCAAAAGACATGATAGCAGCAAGAATGGAGAGCCATGAAAGCTTGTGGAAGTTTGGGATTTGGCTAAGAACTGTTTGGATGCATGCAAATATTATCATATATGGATAGTTTGATATGTTGCACTTGTCTTGGTGTCCGTGCTTGTGGAAACAGTTTGACCTTTTCACCGCCCTGTTTATTATTATTATTTGTCGCATGAGTTTGATCGATTTATGTAAGACCGATTAAGAGAACATATAAATATATAGAATGTTTCGTAAATGGTTTACTTACACGATACTAATTGAGGCAGTTATTGTGTAGCCGATGGTCACACCTACTAGATTTATATATTGAGCCAATCCACATAGCTGAAACTTCCTCCCTCCTACAAAACGTATAACATTAAATTAAGGTTCTGCATTATTTATAACTGAAAAATTAGTGTTTTTCTTTTGTTTGCAATTTAGTTTTAAGAATCTTAATTTTGAAAAGTTCTATTTATATTGAAGAATAATCATTTAAAAGTTCGCTTAAGTTTCAGCTCCTAGCATATGACTTCATTGTTAAATTATCCTTTCATGTCCTTTTGGCCATGGATCCCAAAACTACACACACACATCTACTGAAGATATAAACCATAAAGGGAGCGAATAAAAGATAAGAAAGAATGTTATCATTTTGTTAACAAATAACAACCAAAATACTGTAACTCAGCTATTATATTAAAACATCCTTTTTGAAAATAAATTTTAAAAATTGCATGCAGTTGTCACGCCAATCTTTATCATTTTGTTCATTTACATCAATAGGTTTCAAACCTCTAACCCACACTCAAATTTTCATTATCTGCCAGTAAGTAATAACAATAACCAATTAAAACTTAAGTAGCTAGTCCACACACAAATAATATACGAAGTAGAATGAAAATGAAATACCTAGGGCAGAGCGAACAACCATGGAATAGGTGTAGTTACGCTTGCCATGAACAGGATCAGGGGAGCGATAACAGTCGGCGAGGAGAGTGGAAGTGAAATATGTTATGAATGAGAATGCCATCAGCACCGCCGGCCCCGCCACCCATCCCATCTGCGCTATCGCCCACGCCAGCGACAGCACTCCCGACCCTATCACCGCCGTTATTATGTGAGCACTCGCCGTCACCCACGTCCCTGCCAATATATATACATATACTCACACCTCCATTAATATATATAATTAAGCTTCTTCATCATAACCAACACTCACACGCGCACCCACCTGTTCTTTTGGTTCTTCCGTCATCGTCCAGCATGTTATTCTTACTTGCATCGCCAAATCCTTCTGGGGTTTCTATGTACATGCTGTTCGTCTGGTACTGATTAACTCCGGCCATGTTTGTTAATTATCAGTATACTCTCTGGCGTCTGTGTCTGATGAGATGGTTGAATCAGAGTGAGAGAGAAGAACAAGCCAGAAGCTGTGAGAGAAAAAGCACAGCTACTTAGGAAGTTAAATAGAGATCAGAGGGCGCAAAATGAGTCCAAGTCAAAGGGGGCGACAACAGGTGATCAGGAATTCTTTTTACGCACAAACAAGGGGTTCGCTTTATTGAAATTAAGGCAGCGAGGTTGAGGAAAATTCAAAAGCTTCGACTTATATGGAATCTATATATTATTAACATATGTGGTAGATATAGGACTCTCTTAGCTTGTATCAGGATGTTATGAGACGACATGGTGGAATTTTTGACAGGGCTGTAATATGAACCATTGAAGGTGGCATTTTCTCTTCTGGCTTCTGTCCCCACATCCTTCCTCATTTTGAGTTTTGGTCCATCCATTTCCTGATTTTTATGGCACCCACTCATTATTATGCGTATTCAAATTGCCACAAATCAAATAATCTCTCTCACAAACACGCACTCACAAGTAATTTTACAAATATTAAACAACTTAAACGTAGATACGCATCAAACATTCATGTAACTTAAGATTCCTATATCAGTTTCTTCAATTATTGCTTCTTAAAAAACGTCACATAGATAATTGATTAGCTATGATCAATACTATTGTCCTCCCTTGTGTTTACGGGATTTTAATATTGTATTAATTTTATTTCACACTACAAAAGTCCACAAGCAAATTTCTTGTCAGTCGTAAACGTTGACCTTAGGTGTTAAGATGATGAAAACCAGATGCGCGTTACTGTGCCCTATGATTATAATACCTCACGCCGATCAAGCAATCAGGTTTCAATAATTCAGCACTTAAAAATTTCTTTTCTTAATTTCTTCATATAGTCTTTCTATATAGATTACAACTTTGGTACTTCACTAGATTGCTTTCTTTTTTCAACTTACGTAGTTTGGCCAGCCCCAAGTGGGCGATCTCTCCGTCGACACCTTAGCTTGACTGATAATTCTGCAGTAAATGATTCTGATTAATTAGCATTTATTTTATATGTGTGTGCGTGTATACGGTGACCGATCTATCATTATCTAGGTATATATATGTCGTTCGGTTCATGTTCATCTGAAATATTTGACGAATTGCCTGACCTGTCTCTGTGTATTCTGCCTAGTTATTCTCTCCCACGTTACCCTCGCGTAATCTCTTTCGTCATTTTTTATACTATTGTTTTTCTTTTTCTCCAAGAAAATGGCAAGGGAAAATGATATATTTCTCATGCCACCGATGTAACAGAAGAGTTATTATTGTTGCAGGGACGCCATGCACGAGAATGAGACCACGGTAAAGATTATGGATCTGTATGAAATTACGTGAAGTGCAGTAGAAAAAAGAGGTAGATATACTTTTAAAAAAAAATGAAATAAGAGACAAATGCATTAAAGTTGTAAAAAAGCAAACTTTTAATTAACTAGGTTCTTTCGTAGAAATAGGAAAGGAATCCTGGTCCAATAAGAGCTAGCCAACTGCAAAAGTAATACCAAACAAAAATCCCTCAAAATTAAAGGGTTTGAGCATAATATCTTCTCACAAATCCTTATATTTAAGTTAAAAGTTGTCCTTCCAATTTAATTAACTTAAATCCATGCATACAAGATCAAAGATCTGCTTTTCCTTTTTTTTTTAAAAAAAATAAAGGTTATGTACTCACAATAATTTTCACATGCGTGTTTGAATCGAAGAAAAAAGTGCATGAAGAGAGAGAGAATAATTTGATGACAAGTAGTAAAATTCCAAACTTTAATTTATATTTAAACAAAAAAAACATCAAACTCTTTTTTCTTCAGGGGCATGAAAAATCAAAACTTGTCTTTGCCTCTGATTTTTCCTGTACTAATTCTCCCCGACTGATCTAAACATATTCTTTTGTCCTTTCTAATCAGTGAAGGAGAAAATTCAAAACAGCAACTGGACATACCAAGAAGAATATAATACCTTGGCGGTTTGACTGGTTTACTATTTAGTGACCGCACAAGTCAAGGCCCAAGAATATGCTAATATTATCACGCGGCGACGAATGATGAATAAATCCAATGAATAGTGATAAGCTTGTGAACCAGTTGGCCAGCTTTTTCCCATTAATGAAAGGACCATATTAGAAGTGTCAATATTTCAGTCATGAAAGATCATAAGGTGTGTGTGTCTGTCTGTGTCTGTGTATATATTCTGCTTCATCATCATCGCTTTCTGTGAAAACCTGATTCCGCCGAATATATATTTAATCACCAGTTGCGTGCTTGAAATAATTCCAAATAAAAAATAATGGCATGAATATATATATATATATATATCCTTGAAACGAATCCTCTATATATATATATATATATATATAGACAGACTTCAATATCACTCTTGTTAACGTCAGAAGCTTCCCCTTGACCCCCGACCCCCGACCCCCCCCCTTTTTTCTTCTGTTTAGGAGTACTGATGAACCACTCGACATATTATATTTCCTCTCTTATTTATTTATTGTGTATTATTATAAACTATTCCTTGATGATGAGAAATTTGTGTGTTGACCGTCAACTGTCTCTGAAATGGATTCATGCATATATCGGAGTGGCCTTAAATATATGGCATTTTAATGTACGTATATACTGGATACGTGCCTCCCAGTGCAGATTTTTAGGCTAGCTCGTTGTCTCAGGTTCTTGATCATAGATTAATTGAGGAGATAATGCGTGCTATGAATTATAATTGGTCATGTGAAGCACGTAGTGTAAAGTTTAGTATCTGTTTCCTTTCAATCGTGGGAGACACCTTTTGAAACTGTCAAGGGTTAATGTGTCCCACCCAGGCAAAGACACAGGCGGCTGACTTACATAGAACTGGACGAAGAAAAGGACTATATATCTACATATGTAGAACAAGTTACTATAGCACCAACAGTCTAAAATCCAAACAGGCAAAGATATATATATATATATATACATATCTTATTGGCAATAATTGTTAGGCACTGTGTATGATACAAATATCCGTGTGATTAGCCATTGCTTTGTGATAAGGGTTACGCTGGTTTATGTGAGACAACAATCAAGTGGGATCCAGGTGACAAGACTTTTATTTAATTTAATTTGTTTAAAACATTACTTCTAGTTAACTGTATTCGTTAAATGATTATATGATACATTTCCATTATTAAATGTGTGTTTTTCTATATTTTTCAAGAAACATAATTAAATATAGCCGTTCAATCTTGGCAACTCTAAACTTCAACTAAGTCGATCGATCTCCATTATGTGTCATGTGTGTGAGAGAGAGAATTTAATATTGTTGGTTGCTGAATTCCCGATGCAATTTAAGTTAATTAAGGGAAAGCATTAAAAAATTCTAAAGGGTAATAACGTGGTTGTGAATTAATAATATGCATGCAAAGAAAAAAAAACAAAGATTGCTAAAGAATATACAATAAAAAACAGTAAAAAGAAAGCAAAATTAGTGGTTTTTTTAGATACGAAAATTAATGGTAGAAAATATAGCTTAGATGGAGAGATATGAATAAAAAGCAAGTGGAAGTGCCTTATTTCATTTTCGCCTCTAACGCTATGAATGATCTCACGAGTGATGTCTCCCTTGAGTCATGGTCATCTTTCTCCCCTCCACCGATTCTAGAGTGATCACGTCAAACCACAAATTCCACAGGGCGTGCATTAATTATTATTATTATTATTATTATTATTATTATTATTACTACTACTATTACTATTATTATTGCTGCTGCTGCAACTAACACTGCTATTGTTATTTCTAAGTTGTGTAATTGTAATTTGTCTTACCGCCACTGGTCTAAGTCCTATACGCAGGACAGATAGTTTAAATTAAAGTCACGTCCTAAACTCAATCGAATTAACTAGTGAGTCATATTAATAGGATATTTTATTACTTAATCATGGTAATGGAAGTATCAGAATATCTAGTGCAACAATTTAAATATCTCAAATATAATAAATAAAATATTATTAATAAAAAGCTGTGTATATATATGAAATCAAAGCTTTCACACTTCACATCCTCTTTATGTCACCCGTAATGCCCATCTACTTCATGCATAGCTCCGACGCGATGCATCGATTATACCTTTTCCAAAAGCACAATCTAGCAGCATTTTTGCTATTTTCTGCTTTCTTTCCCCTCCCTTTAATTTCTTTATTATCTGGCCATCACTAATAATATTCATTGCGATTAATAGTGTTATTTATTTCATTTTTACTTTTTAGTACTACCTTCGGTCCTAATTATAAGAGCCAGTTGACTAATTTGAAAAAATTAAAGAAAGAAATTAAGTTAGTTATTTGTCATAAATAGATGTTGTCTTTCCTAAAATATCATTGCTAATCAAGTGTATTAACTATAACTACTATTGTTAGAAAGACTATCTTGAAAAAAATGCACAAATATTAGAGACAAAATAGATTTGAATCTTATATTTAGGACCAAAATAAAAGTCAAACGATATTACTGGAGGTAGTATTGACTAATAGATAGAAGGTCCACCATCTCACGAAACGTGATTTTGTGAGTTTTCCAAACATGCAAAACTATCATTGCAAAATCAATTCTGTCAACGAGCTAACGAGAACTGAGTTCTGTTTATGCTCAGATTGAGAAGAGAATCAATCTCAGTTTAATTTGAATTATCGATTGAGCGGTATCATGAACAGTTGGCCACGTCGGTCAAAAATAAACTATTGCCACCAAATATATTGAGTTGTTGGGAATCATTAAAATGGCTTTTCGTACTCATAAAGATCACTTCTTACTTTTGGGTGATACAAAACAAAGATTCCCTTATAACTCAACAGGAAATTAATGTGCTGATTATTATTTCTCACACGACCACTGACTTGGATTGTGAAAGAACCTGCCCCCTTTATTCCACGTCCTGACATTGGAATTAGTTGCAATAGTGTGATTCTATAATAGGGGAAGCTAGCGCAGCTTGAGGTTCAATTCTGTGTCGTTTAGTAGTTTTTAATTTGTTCGGCTATAATATATTTTACTTTATTTTTATACTTAACTAAATAAATCAATAGTGTGATATAAAAATTTAGATATATTTTTTTTCCTGCTCTTCTACTTTGTGCCTGAAAATACGTGTTAAGCCAATAGACCTTTTAACTATGCGTGGAACCTCACCGCCTATTAATGCTCTCCCGGTTCTTAATATAGATCTAGTTATTAAGTTAATTTTGGTCCTAAATATAAGGTTTATTTCTTATATTTATCAATTTTTCCTAAATTATCTCTATGAATACTTCTTTAACCATAATCAAGTAAGAAAGGAAGGAAGGATATCAAGAAAGATGATTATGGTGTTTTAGGAAAAACATGTCATATTTTTTATAATTCACTAACTTATCTAAATTTTTTAATCTAATCAATTTAGTTAAAGAGGTCTTATATTAAGCACCGGAAAAGGATATTAGAAGGGATGCAGGCCTGAATGGGCTTTCATTGCCAGGATGATTCGTGTTGGGCCTAAATGTGTGACCCAATTAGATCGATCTACCATGGTTTCCCGCCCCGATGAAAATCCTAGCAAGTAATTTTTTTTTTGACCAAAAAATCCTAGCAAGTAATAAATCTAGTTTTTTGGACTGAAGTAATAAATCTAGATTTAAAAGAGATTGTTTGAGAATGAGGATGATATCTGCTCAGCTTAATTTTATGGATTAGAGGGGGAAAACACTGTCAGAAGTATGATTAATTTTATGCTTTGAAAAAACAGCAGAAAATATGAAAAGTTATTTTTGTTCATTCCACAACGTAACCTTATATGCTATTTTTCACATGTAATTTTGAAATTACTCTCTACATGCTTTTTGTAAGAAAGATTTAAACTTTCACCAAATTAAAAAAGAAATCAGTTAAAGTTAGTAGCAGCAGCTTTTTTGGTTTTTTGGCCAGCGTGTTAGCCGCTTATTAGTATCTTTTTTTTTCTTTTGATCAGGCTGCTTATTACTACTCCTTAGTCTTATTTATAGATCAGGTAAAAAAAACATTCTTGGCCTCAGGGTACTGACAGAAATTTTTTATATGGATATACAATTTTATCACTCGTTTATTATTGTATTGACTTTGTTTATACGAAATATACATATTAAATAGAAATAAAGTTAAAAAGTTATTGAATTTTTTTTTTTTTTTTAAAAAATCTATGTGAAATATATTTGAAAATGACTTACAGTAGAGAATTACCATGCGTTGATGTAAAATATTACCATATTGATGATTTCAGGGAGGGGCTTGATTGATTTTGCTGATGGCCGTTATGCTGGCGTGCAGACACAAGGTGCGCGCCATGTGGTCAGAAGAACAAACATGGCAAATGGGGAAACCAATGTGGTCCCCCCTCCTCACGTCGTATTTTGTGATACGCGAATCATGACATAGGCATTAGCAATCAGCGCATGTATGCCTCGTTCTTTTTTCCCCGACCAGATTTCTCACAGCTACGAACCCTGGCTTTCACTCCACAATCTCCTCCCCATTTCACACTCTGATCTCCATGTTTCCGGTTCGTTTTCTCTCCTCCCACTCGCTATCATTCTCTTCCTCATCTCCTTTTTTGTTTTGTTTTTTTAAATTTCTATTTTGAGACCTTCATATCCTCTGAATTATTTTAGCCAATCAGAACAGAGTTAGGTGCTACATGTCGAAAATTTTGCACCTCTTTGGTGACGCCATTCGTGCTTGATTACGTGCAATTGATGAGTATACCTTTCGAGGATTTTGCAAGCATTATGCTTCTTTTTACCGGCTTAATATGGTAATCTCGAGTTTTTAATGCTACTATGATTGCTGAAACTTTTGCTTGAATCCAACGTCTAAGTATTGCCTCATTTGGTCCTCATGTACTACAAATTGCTAGTGCTTTCGAGTTTTTGGTTTGCTTGAGTTAATGCAGGCACTTCCACCACCTATCTAGACTTCCCTTGGGAAAAAAATTGCATTCCACTTGAGAATCAAGCAATTATTTAAAGTGTTACTGGACCATAATATTGTATTCACAATCTACAGTCAAGCATTCTTGGACAAGGATTCGCATGATTTAACAAATTAGTTTACCGAATATAGGCTTCCACATTTTTTGGTGCATATTCAGTAAGTGAGTGGGTGCGGGTGTGTTTTACAGTTGCTTTTTAGGAAGAACTCCCCTCCAGTGTTTCTCATTAGGCCTTTTCCTTTTACAATGTTACTTATTCAACTGTTCATTTTCAATAGCTAATTCACTTGCTCAAGAACCAGGGGTCGATGAGAGACATGTCAGTATCTCAAGGTGGCAGATGGAGCTCCTGCTAGTATTGACTTAAAAAATGATAGGCATGTGCTGTGATGATGGTGATATTGGTTGCTCCAGTTACTAGGATGGTTCTTATAGTCCGAAATATAGAAGTCGGCCAATATTGAAGCGTCCTAATGTGACGTCACATTCAGGCAGAATCAGGCCAGTGGCGATGTTGGAAACTGTTCAGGAGATTGCCATCTACATTCATAGATTTCATAATCTTGACCTTTTTCGGCAGGGGTACTCGTACATTGTACTTTCTCCCTTTAATTTTCTTTATGAATCTGTTACCTGATAATTTAAACTATATATTTTTTCGTAGATGGTATCAAATTAAGATTACTAGTAGATGGGAGGACAATGAAAAAATCTCTTTTGGGACTCCAGCTAGAGTTGTTCAATACGAAGGTAATTTGTTAAATCATAGTCTACTTTTCTCACGTCTGTCTCTATACCCTCTTGTTTGTTACATATTATTTTATAAAGAGTGAAAATTTGAAAGTTTTATGGTTTAGTCTTGTCAAGAGTGAAATGAGGGTGTACATAACAAGGTAGCAAAAAATACCTGCTAGTATGATCATGATAATTATGACTTGTATCTCTTTGACACTGAGCATCGTTTTGAATGAGCGTTTGAGGAAACCGGGCTGTACATTTTGGCCTGGGGTTCCTGCTCCCTTCTGCCAAGTACTAGTCCATATTGAACTTTTTGTCATTATTTTTCATACGGTCATTTTTTTTAATAGACTCTACAGTGATGAGTAATATTTTGGGTTGAAGACCATAGATTTCTGGAATAATGCATAACTCCCATATATGAATTTCTGTTAAAGATCAGTTTCTGGTGATATTCGTTCCTGAGTGTAATTTGAATTTTGAGAGAAGAAATGAAGCGTTATTATGCATCTATTTTATATTTCATCAGCCTGTTGGACTTTCGGAACATAATATGAAGCAGACCCTTCTCCTATCTGTTCAATTTGGGGAAGCAGGTTTACGTATCAATTCAAAAGAAGCTTAGAGCTGAACTAGGCTTATAACCTTCTCCTATCTATTCAATTTGGAGAAGCACGTTTATGTATCAATTCAAAAGAAGCTTAGAGCTTAACTAGGCTTATAACCTTTTATTGAATTTTGATGTAAGGAACAAAGAAAGTCATGGTACAATGTAGCCAAAAAGAGAAAAAGTGAAAATGATCAAGCATGCTGGAAATCTGAATTACATGTCCGTCATGCCTGGGATGTTTCATTGCTATGCATGAGATTGTGGATCCTTAATCCTCTTTAAGTTTGTCTGATTTTATTTTGCTTACTTCATTTTCCTTCATATGAAAGCCATCAGAAAGTTTATTTTTTATATGCTGAATTAATAACTGAGGCAGAGTTCCTATTTTGCAGCTCCTGATCTAGGTTCTGGTAATTTATATGGTATATGGAGAATTGATGATGCGGACCACAGTTTCTCAACACATCCCTTTCAGATAAAATATGCTAGACAGGACATTCATTTATGTATGATGATCTCGTTCATCTTATCCCCTGGTAAATTTGAGGTAGCAATTTCTTTCTCGTTTTCATTATTTTCAAGGGTTATCAATTGGAAAAGAAACCTCTTGAGATGACAACTGCTTTTTGGTTACGAAGTTATCCGTCAGGGAGATCCCTGGGTCATACACCTCCCCATCGACAAGGTTGACATTCTAATTGCCATAGGGTTGTACATTCTTTATACACACTTGCACATGCCCCTTCATACACATGCACATGTACAGACGGTTGTTGAAAAGAAAAAAACTGAAGTAGGAACTAATTTGTAATTTTTAGGTATCAAGTGCTTGTCAGGTTGAGGAATATACTTTATCTTGACGCTAGATTAATACTTAGTTTTGGACTAATGTACAGAACTTGGCTTCTATAGTGAAGATGAGCACTAGAATAGCTAATATTGAATATAACTTTAACTTTTCTTTAAAGATGAAGTAGAATACTAGTATTTTTCACTATTCTTCCCTTGTAGAGTTTATTATTCTTGTCACATCGAACTTTTTTTGTATGGAATCTGCATGCAGGGTTTATCGACAGCTGCTGCTATTTTGAAGTTTGAACTTATGTTTTCTCCCAATTTGGAGGATGGGTGAGAAATAGGAGCTGTATATTGATTGGCCCTTTAGTTTGAGGCAAAAGTCTTGTTTGTTTCCTTTTTGGTAGATACGTCCTTGCTGAAATTCATATACTGACCTGAGGGCACCATCTACAGTGTTGGATTGCAAGCTTTTCTGGATGCTTCCCCTGCTGCTGTTCATGAATTTCGGATTCCTCCCAAAGCCCTTTCAGGATTGCATTCATATTGTCCTGTCCATTTTGATGCCTTACATGCAGTGCTTGTTGATGTAAGTGTACATGTCAGTCTACTGAAAGCTGCTTCTTACAGGTCTGCTTCGAAGGTACCCAGGTTTGTTGCATAGTCTTACTTGCATATGATTGGGATAGAATCTTTAGAATTTGTAATTTTTCTCAGAAGATCATTTTAATCTGCTTTGATTGCAAACTTCATGTTACGGATCCATCTTCTTATTCTTCTTCTTTTTTTGTTCTTTTTTCTTTTTTCTGGAAAGTATGTATTCTTCTTTTCATAGAATAACCTTCACTTTGTACCATTTCAGCAATTCTGGCAGTCCCGGAGTGATTGCTGATGAAAGTTGCGGCACATCAAATCCAGTATGCTGTTAACATTGGATTGGATGTTTCTTTCTGTTAAACATTGCTGATCATGGTGGCTTTGTGCGTAATGCTATGGGGAGATGACAGTTATAATTATTGTATCAATTTATTTTGCCTTTTCTCCCTTCAGGATTAAGGACATATTAGTTGGCAACCTGGGAGTATAGAATCCATCATTATACATGTACAATTAATTAACGTGGTTTTTTAAATACCCAAATACTGTGCAATTTTTTTTTCAAATTATGTTCTACTTTTTAGGGGGGAAATAATAAACATCCTCATGCAATGCACGGGGAATGTTTTCAGTTTTCATTAATATGAATGTGAGTCATTTTAGTATTTGTTCAAGCGGCACTTCCCATTCTTCTACATCATTTCCTATGAGTGTGTGTCTGCTTTTATATTGTCCGTACTAGTAGTTTGTGGGGTTCACATCTATGATTTTGCACCTGTTTGTTTATATTTTTATTTACACATGATCGGAAACAGGGAAGTTCATGCCTGCACATATTTAGTTACCTACGTGCACACATTATATGTCGTGCTTGGAATGCCTTTTCCTATTTTGATACTTTCCGTTGTGTTGATTATTATTTGAACCTGCTTTCCAAGAAGATGGTGACGTATTTATAGCAATTTTTCTTTGCATCAATGGAACTAAAGACCATTTTGAAATGTCGGGCTTCCAGGCACTACTTCAAATTTGTGTCTTGCACTGAGAATGGGGTAAAAATCATTGAGAAGCGTAAGATAGGGAGTTTAATAACATTCATTTCGTTTTCCTAAATGATCAGGGAGTCAACGACAATGAAAGTCACTATTTTAACTTTCATATTCTACTGTTTTAGTCCTCCTTGCATTCTTCTTCATGTAATGATAATGTTTTGTGTGACTGATCAGGAAGCAAGTGGCGTTACTTCTGAAGTTGCAAAGAATGTTGCAGTCGTTAAAGCTTTACTAACTGCTTGTGATATATTGCTTGAAGAACTGCAAAAGTTCAGCAAAGCAGTTGGTCGAGCTATTGATTTTTCTGAGGCAAAAATGAACAATCCAACGTTATTAACTTCTATTCTGCAAGCAAAGCAGCTTGGTGCAGATGTTGAAGTTTCAGGAGAAGGCAAACCACAAAATGGTCTTGAGGTCCTTACTTCGATTCAGATAGTATTTCTTATTTTGTTGGGCCATTTATACCATTTCAATTATTCCTTCTTGATTAGTTCTTACTTCTTTTTCTCTTCCTTGCACAGAGAGGAAATGGTGCTCTGGATCTTCATAATGCTGAAGTTCTTTGTTCCTTATCCAAGAACGAACTGATGGGCTGTTATCATTCATTGGGAGATCAGTCCATGTATTTATGGAGTTTATTTCTTAAGTTCCACCGGTATGCTTTCCACCAAATCTTGTAGGATTTTATTTTACTTAATTTTGTTAAACTGAAATCAGGGCACTGTTTCTTAATTATGGACCAGCTCCAGATCCAACTATGCACATACTTACATGAATGTATCATGAGATTGGTCCGGTGTAACTGCCTGAAATTATAATTCTGACTCTATAATGATAGGACAAGTATCATGGAACTTTTGCTTGGCTTGTTTACTTAGCTCATATTAAATGCTTAGGGATAACAAAACAAAGATTCTTGAGTTTTTACGTGATGCATGGGCTAAGGATCGGAAAGCTGAGTGGTCAGTATGGATGGTGTACTCTAAGTTTGAGATGCCTCATCATCATATAAATAGTGGCAGTGATGAATCTTCCCGCCGTGGTGTACATAGAAGAACTGCCAGTTCATGGCAGTTACCTGATAATGTAAGTGCTTTCCTGTTCCTTATGAATGGGAAATAATAATTTTTAATGTAAAAGGTTACATGTAGTTTAGTTTTGTCTTGTGATTGGCACAGCCTCCTCAGACCGCAGCTACACGTGCTGATCTCCATCGAAAGAGCATTGCACAGATGAGGGTAAGTTTGTCTCCTTGATTAATGTCGAGTTTGGACCCCTAGCTTCCTTTTAGATTTTCATGTGGGCTATTAATTTATTACTGCTTCATTGCAGATCAACAACCGGTCAATTCAAGATATGTATATATTTGGAGATCCTTCACGAGTACCAATTGTGATTGTAGAACGTATGATGAGCACAACACGCCGTACTAATAGTGAAAATTCATACCTAAGACATGTTGAACTTGTAGAATCACTCACCTTACGAACTGACAGCTCTGGCACTGTACACAAGAAATCCGCGCCACAAAGTAATGCTCGTGTGTTGAAGATTGTTGTCTTTGTGCATGGATTTCAGGCAAGTATGGTCATGGGGAATTTATTGCAAAATCAGTACCTTGCCTTCGTGTGGAAATTGAGCTTGTTAACTATGCCCAAGAATTTTGGAATTTGGTTCAGAGTCACTTCTTGATGAATCAACTGAAGTTTTTCTACACTATTACTAATTTAAGTCGTGCTTTTCAACTTTCTAATGTGGGAGTGAATGAGCAAAGCTGAAGAAGCTGAGGGCCGAAGCTAACTTTCTTGATTGTTCTTTAGCCTAAGCTTGAGTTAGGTAAGCCCAACTTAGATTAGTCGTGTTATCTTAATTTATTAAGGAAAATGCACCAGCACTCCTTATCCTCTGACTCGTTTATCAATAGCCACTATTTACTTAGAAATCCACATAATGAACCACTGTACTTTAGCTTTCTCGAAAGTTGAAAGCAGATCTTTCCATCTACTTTCGATTGGAACTTAACTAAAGCCCCATATGAAATTGTGTGAAAGGACACATGGCATACGATCAATGATAAATTATATGTGACGTACTGGAATCTGTTGAAATAACTTGCTGGAAGCATTGACCTACCATAACATACTAGGGGCCCTTTTCTTCTGTACGTGTATGGTTTATATTTCCATGAGTGCTACAATACATGGGTATATTCTATGGATTTTGAAATTATATGGTTGTTGTCTGCAAAGTGGTCAAAGTAGAGGGGTGTCTGTGCATTTTCCCTAATTTATTATATAAATTTAAGGGAAAAATTAATAAAAGTACAAGTCAAGAGCCATCATTTTTTTAGTTACATATAAATATATTTCATTTGAAAATACAAAATATTGTTTAATGGAAAAGTTTGCCCGAGCCTAATGAAGTTGCTGATGAACTTGTTTTGTGACAGAGTTGAGCTGACCCTGGCTGAGCCTATTGTAGTAGCTATGTATGTGCTGTTTGGAGTAGTGAGGGCATTTATTCTCCTATTGTAATCTTGGTACATTTGGTTAATATAGGATTTTTATAACTTTATATATCATAGACATCATGGTGTATCACTTTCAGTTACATCTTATTCAGAGCAACATTAAGTACGTGAATTACAATTCATCTATCTTTTCTTTTAGTATTTTAATTGGTTGGGAATGTATGTGAATTACTCAATACTCCATCACTCAAAATTTTATAGGGGCATCATCTAGATCTACGGCTTATCCGGAATCAATGGCTTTTGATAGATCCCGTGGCTGAAGTTCTTATGTCCGAGGTTAATGAGGATAAAACATCTGGAGATTTTAGAGAAATGGGACACAGGCTGGCTCAAGAAGTCATATCTTTTGTTAAAAGAAAAATGGACAAGGCATCAAAATGTGGGAATTTAGAAGATATTAGGATAAGTTTTGTCGGACACTCGATTGGTAATCTCATTATAAGAACAGCTATTGCAGGTTAGTCACGCATTTAAGATGTAATGCAGCTCGTCAGTTTGACTTTTGGTGCTAAAATATGTTTTATGTTTGCAGATAGCATGATGGAACCTTTCCTAAGACATCTTCATACATATGTTTCTGTATCTGGTCCGCACTTGGGTTATCTCTATAGTTCGAACTCTTTGTTTAATTCTGGATTGTGGCTTTTGAAGACTCTGAAAGGCACACAATGCATTCATCAGTTGACTTTCACCGATGATTCAGATATCCAAAATACCTTCCTCTATAAACTGTGTAAGGTAGGAAGGTCCTATGAAAGTTAGGGTCTAATGTCTTTGGCATCAGTTTAGTCTTACTCTACTGACTGACTTATTTTTAAGAAGGCTGCAGAGCCCCTCAAGTTTTAATTTTGTTGATCAGCTTCTGGTCCCTTCAAAAATTGTTTCAACAGCTACATTGTGTTCGTGTGAAATTATTAATGTCCGTGACTTTTAGCTTGTAAAGTTCAGGAAGTAGTGAGAATAGATTGACACCCGAGAAAAAGGGATAGAAATGACTATTAGGACATTTACTGAGGTTTAGAAATCTAAATGCTTTAGCCTGAAAATTAAGGAGGTTCTATGCATTTTCCCTTTAATTTAATATTTGCTGTGATGTATGACCGAAAAAAAATATTTGCCGTGATAGAGAGACGAATGACATATACTATTGGTGGAGGTTTTAATATTGTTCTTTCCTTTTATTTCTTTCTAATTTCAGCAGAAGACATTGGGCCACTTCAAACATATTATCTTGCTATCTTCTCCTCAGGTATTTATTTCCCGTTGGTCACATGTAAATTGAACATTTATGCTGATATTTTGTTAGAAATTGGGTTATTATTCATCAGTATCATGGTTGAGCTTAAGCATGTGTGTAAGCAGAATTGGAACTTCTTCAATGGGTTCCATCACATATATCAATGCAAGTAGGGCATGCTTCTCTCGTTTGGGACAAAGATATCAGGGTCAATCGACCCAGAAGAAGAATATTCTCTCGTTGAAATAATAATGTGAACTACATGATGGTCTCGATGCTTCTAACTCCAGAGAGCATACAATAGGGATTTTAATGTTTTAAATTCTGCAAGCGTTTCGTTATGCTGGATATGAATTAGTTATCTTCATAGACAAGGAACTCAATAAAGTTTTTGCATGATAGTAGCGGTATAATCTTTTTTCCTAATTAAGGTCTAATAAATACTAAAATCTCAAGTGAAGGGTAAGGCAATGCTTTAAAGTTAGTTGAGTCTATGTACCTTTTTTCACCTTTAATTCTCTCCATGTTACCTTTTCTTATGGCATGCTTGTTTTTAGTTTAGAGTTTCTTCTGGCTTGCTTAATTGATGCTTCCTCAGGATGGTTATGTACCCTACCACTCTGCTCGAATTCAATCATGCCAAGCCGCTTCAAATGATAATTCAAAGAAGGGAAGAGCGTTCATGGAGATGCTCAATAGTTGCTTGGACCAAATCCGTGCCAATCCCTCTGAACGTCGAGTGTTCATGCGCTTTGATGTTAATTTTGATACCACTGCCTATGGCAAGAATCTGAACTCCTTCATAGGGCGGGCCGCTCATATTGACTTTCTAGAATCTGACATTTTTGCAAAGTTCATAATGTGGTCTTTTCCCCAGCTTTTTCGATAGCAGCTGCTTGAAGCGCCCCCTTTTGCACTCCCCACAGGCATGAACAATTCTCAGTAAGAGGATCTCCAATGATTGCCAAGGAATGGTTTGTTCGGGGTCTCTCAAGATGGACGTCTGAACTATATAATCTTGGGCCTCAGCTTGTTAGTTTCGGACATCTACTTGTATACGCAGCTTTAGGGAGGATCCATATATAATGATGTAATTATTGTAGGCTTAGGTACATCTCCACCAGATGTAGGTTAGAAATGGTTTTAAGAAATACATGGGAGAGAATCCACATTTGGAAGTTGGCATGCAGTCACATCGTTGCGATTATCTGTTTTTTTTTTTTTACCCCCTCTTTTCCGTTTCCTGGGCTCATCTTATTGCCTTTTCTTTTTCAATCAAAACGAGAAGCCGATTGCATTATGGGTAATATAAAAAAGTATCGATCCTCTTGATTTTGTGGCTTTGAATTTCTATGAAGTTCATCACATGAAGGAAGAGGTCTTCATATAAGAAGAAAAATTAAGGGGTAAGCTAAGCACAACCTCATCAAAACTTTTAAATACTAAAATTTAGATGATCCAATTTGAGGTTGGTGATTGTACTATTTGTTATTCTAATCTCCTGGAGTCAAAATTGATAGAGAAAAAAATAACTAGTAAAAAGCCGAGACGATGTTAAGTCATAACTCGTGAATTTTCCTCACGAGTACCTGCCTCCCAAAAAAAGAGTTTTTGAAGGGGAAAGAATCTAAGTCAATAAAGAGTGATAAAACAGTGCAAAAGTGTATCTGTCGGATTCTTCCTTATCTCCTCAGCATCACGGGACCTCATCCAAATCTTGTTTGTTCATTCTAAAACCAGCCTACCTCCTCGTTTATAAAAGTCAAGGAGATGATAATATTAAGATCAATATGTATTTATGAGTTACTATTATACGTCATTCTATATTTTACAAATTATTCTCATTTCTCTTTCTTTTTTCTTCCTTTTTAGAGAAAATTGAATTGAAAATATGTAACATATATTCAGGATAAAAAATGAAAAAAAACAGTAAAATACCCTCAAAATTACTAAATGACAAATTAGGGTAGGTAAATTTCAAAATCCCAATTCAGACCCCGGGTACCATTTTAGAATTTTCAAATCTTGTAAAATGACAACATTATCCTTACTGTTGGTGACTACTTCCATATAGCTATTGACTATTCTATTTTAACTATTGACAACTTTTGTTTTCAAAGTTCCGATGAATATTTATGTAGCTATTGACTACACAAGAGTAGTAAATCGCATTACTGGAGTAGTTAATAGCCTAATAAGAGTAGTCATCAGAATTTAAAAATAAATGTAGTCAATAGCTAAAAAAGAGTAGTCAATACATAAGAAATGGTAGTCACTAGAGCTCCCCTAACCAGTCACCGGAGTTCCAGTAACGTGTTATCAGAGTTTAAAAATAAACAAAGTTAATAGCTAAAAAAGAGTAGTCAATATATAAGAAAGAGTAGTCATCGGAACTCCGACAACCGGTCACCGGAACTCCGGTAACCAGTCGCCAAAGCTGCGGTGGTTGGTCGCCGGCAGGATTGCCAGCATCGGAGCTCCGGTAGCCGGAATTGCTGATGTAGCAGTATTTAAAAAAAGTATTAAAAAAAAAGTAAAGGGCATTTGTGTAATTTTACAAGATTTGAAAATTCCAAAATAGTACCTGGGGTCTAAATTGAGATTTTGAAATTTACCTACCCTCTTTTGTTATTTAGTAATTTTGAGGGTATTTTAGTGTCTTTTTCCCATAAAAAATCTTGACTTATTTTATAAAAAAAAAAAAAGACATTGACTTGTAACAAGTACGGAGTGGATGTACATGTTGAGACGCGGCGCTGTAATGGCGGGCGTCGCTCTTCCTCAAGACGCTTACTTTCTTGGATTTGACAGTTCTACACAGTAAGTCTCTGATTTCTCCAAGCTACATCAGTAGACCTGGGTTTCTCCTTTTAATTTTCATGAAATCAATTTAGAGTTCGAATGGTTTTGTTTTAATCGGCAACTAAGATAGTTCTTCTATTTTGTTTCCCCTGCGTGTTTGTTTTCCGGCTACAATTGCCCCCTTCAATTCTGTATTCTAATGTGAATAGAATAAAAATTAACACTTCTCGGGTTCGAAGGTCACTGAAGGCAACTGTACTGGACTCAAATTTGAACATTGTTCAGTCAGAGTTGATTCGTTTTGCTTCTGACCTGCCCCATTACCAAACCGAGGATGGAGTATACCGAGAACCCTCTGGAAATGGAAGAATTGTCTCACCCACTTTGATGTGGGTTGAAGCTCTGGATCTTATGCTTCAAAAGCTCTCACAATCAGAATTGGACTTGGGGAGAATTGCTGCTATTTCTGGTAGTGGACAGCAACATGGTAGTGTCTATTGGAAAACTGGTAGTTCTCAGATACTATCATCATTGGACCCCGAGAAATCACTACTTAACCAGCTCGAAAATGCTTTTAGCACAAAGAAATCCCCAGTGTGGATGGACTGTAGCACCACTTCAGAGTGTAGGAAGATTGAGGAAGCTTGTGGGGGAGCAATGGAGTTGGCTAAATTGACAGGATCGCGAGCATATGAAAGATGCACCGGTCCCCAAATCAAGAAAATATTCAATACGCAGCCAGAAGTTTACAATAACACTGAGAGGATCTCCCTTGTTAGCTCCTTCATGGCCTCTCTTTTTATTGGCGCTTATGCTGCTATTGATCACTCTGATGGTTCAGGCATGAATTTGATGGACATAAGGAAAAAGGAATGGTCTAAATTAGCCCTTGAGGTTAGTAATGCTAGGATCATCCATATAATTCATGCTGCACTCATCTTCAATGTTCATGGAGTATTTATTCTAAATTAGAATTTTCTATTAAACCAACGTAGTTTAATTCTCATGGTTGTTGCAGGCAACTGCCCCTAATTTGCAATCAAAACTTGGAGAGTTAGCCCCTGCATATGCTGTTGCTGGAAGCATTGCTCCGTATTTTGTAGAGAGGTCTGTTGCGCGTAGTTTTGAAACTTGAAGTGGAACTTAACTGGCTGAGTTTTTTCTTCCAGCTCTCTTAGGTAGGCTGAATATCGAAATGACTGGCTACTGTGCCTATAAGAATGTTCAATAGAATCTCAAACATCAACTTGCTGGCTGGAATGGTCTGAGTCATCTTATGGAAAACAAAATGTCTAAAATGCTACGATTGACCGCTGAAATTTATCTATCTCCTCTTAGGTACCATTTCAACAAGAACTGCTTGATTATTAACTGGTCAGGGGACAACCCTAACAGTGTGGCAGGTGCCTTCATTTCTTCACTTCTAACATTTGCTGTCATACATAGAATTGCGCCTGTGCACAAATTCTCTGTTATGTTTCCTGCTAAAGTTATGAAAAGTCAGCCTTTTTGGGTCTGCAGGACTAACCTTGAATGTTCCTGGAGACGTGGGGATCAGCCTTGGCACTAGTGACACTGTAAGTTAGGACTATATAATGCGACCTTCAATGTTTATATCTTAGTTAATAATTTCAGTACGTTTGAAGAGGCAAATTTCAATAGATTTATATTTTGTTATATTTATATGTAACAAAATAGATTCAGTCACACCTCGACTTTGAGTTATAACACATTCTTACTTATCTCTTAGGTATTTATGATCACTAAAGATCCTAATCCAAGGTTAGAAGGACCTGTTTTACCTAGTCCAGTTGATTCAGAAGGTTACATGATAATGTTGGTGTACAAAAATGGGTCCCTTACCCGTGAAGGTAGTGCTGTTAACTGATACACGTGTCACTGTGTGCATAGTTGATCCCACTTTACAGTTGCCATAATTTCTCACTTCTATGCCCGTCTCAATTATCAGACATACGCAACCGCTTTGCTGAGAAATCTTGGGCCACTTTCAACAAATTTCTGCAAGAAACCCCGCCTCTGAATGGTACATATTATTCTTTGTGATTTTGTGGCTGTTGTTACATGCACTCCATTTTCTCATCGCTTTGTTGATAGGTGGAAAGTTAGGTTTCTACTACAAGGACCATGAAATCCTCCCTCCTCTCCCAGGTGGATTTTTATTTTATCTCTAAATTACCCCTATAGCAAGGATGAATGAACTTTCGTTAATCAAAAGGTTTCTAACAATTTTTTTGTTTCCAGTTGGTTTCCACCGCTATGTCATAGAAAATTTCACCGGTGATTCATTGGATGGACTCGCTGAACATGAAGTGCAGGAATTTGATGCTCCTTCTGAGGTTAGAATACATACATAACAAACCTTGTAGTAACTCGTCCGATTTGAACTTAACCATTGAGAAATATTCTAAACTACAGGTAAGAGCAATAATTGAGGGTCAATTTCTCTCAATGAGAGCTCATGCAGAAAGATTTGGCATGCCTTTTCCTCCCCAACGAATAATAGCCACAGGTGGAGCGTCTGCAAATCATTCCATCCTTAGCACAATCGCATCAATTTTCGGCTGTGATGTTTATACCGTGGAAAGGCCTGGTGAGCTATGAAAACTATCTAGTTCTTGTTAATAAAAATAAGCTATTATTTTTCTTTTTCGAAGTTTCTCACTGAAATTTTTATTCTCTAAGCTGTTTTCTTTATCATTTGGTAGTGTAAACGACGAACTTGAGTAATTGATATTTTTCAACAGGAACTGATTCTGCATCTCTTGGAGCTGCATTAAGAGCTGCTCATGGCTTTCTTTGCAGCGAGAAGGGAAGTTTCATACCCATTTCTGACTTGTACATGCACAAACTGAAGGAAACATCTCTGAGCTGCAAACTTTCAGTGAAGGCTGGAGATGAGAAGCTGGTCTCCAAGTATGGCTTGTTCATGAAAAAGAGAATTGAGATAGAGAATCGTCTGATCGAAAAATATGGACGCATATGATATTGTATGATGACATATTCAACTGTAATTTATTTGTACACAGCTATGTATGTTGATTGGTAGTTATATCTGTTAAGGGAATCAGATCAGAAGACAAAATCACTGTATATAAGGATTCATACTTCACATAATAAAGCAGACAGCTGAGTCTTGCTGAGTTGAAATTCGCTATTTCGCTCTTTATTTTCTTGTTGAGAGCAAATATGTCACCGAGGTTGTTGTCAATAGAATAACCAGTTCATCCCCACTTCTTTCCCCTCTTCTGGGTCATTATTGCTAAAATAAAATCTGTTGGCTTCGGATTTGATAAACATGAAGATTTTAGAGCTAGATGGTTTTTAATTAAGCTAATTGCATGTATTATCCTCTTTCTTTCTTTCTTTCTTTTTTATTGCTTCCAAATTTTTGGTCGGGCTAAAACAAGTGCAAAAAAATTGTGCTGTGTGAAAGTCTTTCCAGAATCTACTTTTTTTATGATTTGCATTTCTGAATAAAAAATGTTCCAATATATTATTGTGAAAAAACAATTACTTTTTTAAAAAATATTTAAAATTTGACTCATTATCCATAATACCAGAAAATTCACTATATATTGCATATAATCTCTAAAGTATTAGTGTATCAAACAAATCTAAAATATTAATAAAAATATAATTTTAGATAGGACACCACATAGTTAAATTAACTTTGGAGGATGATTTTAAATGTTTTTTTAGACTGAAAGTGTAAATTTGTGCTCTTTTTCGGCGGTTTACTTCCTATTTTATGGTCAGCTTTAGGTTTCATTTTTCCCTTTTGTTTTTTTGGTTTTTGCCCAGGGGGCCTGAATCGCAGAATCGCTATCACAATATCACTAGATTTCACTTGTTATTTTTTGGGGGCCCAGGATCGTTATCGCCAAAATAAACCCCAAATCGTCACGCACTTTTACCGTTTTACCCTAACAAGCAATACGAGGTTTCCCGTTCCGGGCCACCGGAAAACAAATATAGTACTGTTAGGAAGGGAGACAATCTTAAATTTTTTTTCTTTTTTGGTGACAAATCCTAATCTTAATTTTTGATTATCTTATCCGCATCTTGTCTGTTCATCCAAAAACCCCGCTAGATGAGTTGGCTGACGTAACCTCCTTCATCTCCTTATTATAAAAAGCCAGAGAGATAGTAATACTGTGATCTCCTAGTATTTCTAATTCTAATTCTAATTTTATTTCATCCGTATCATACATTGCTGTGGTGTGTTTCGCTCTAATGGCGGAATTTTCTCTTCCTCACGACTCTTATTATCTTGGATTTGATAGTTCCACCCAGTAAGTCTTTGATTTCCCCGAATCGCGTCAATATTTCTCAGAATTGGTTTTCTCCAATTTTCATGAAATCAATTGAGTTCGAATAGTTTTATTTTATTCAGAAACCGTAATCTTTCATCTATTTTGTTTCTCCTGCATTGCTGTTTTATGGCTGCAATTATCTGCCTTAAATTCTGCATTGTAATATGAATAGAATAATAAAAAAATTTGCTTTTATGGCGTTGGAAGGTCATTGAAGGCGAGTGTACTGGACTCAAATTTGAACATTGTTCTATCAGAGCTGATACGTTTCGATTCTGATTTGCCACACTACAAAACTAAGGATGGAGTATACCGAGACTCTTCTGTGAATGGAAGAATCGTTTCACCCACTTTGATGTGGGTTGAAGCTCTGGACCTTATGCTTCAGAAGCTCGCAAAATCAGAACTAGACTTGGGTAAAATTGCTGCTGTTTCTGGTAGTGGACAGCAACATGGTAGTGTCTATTGGAAAACTGGTAGTTCTCAGATATTATCATCATTAGATCCTAAGAAATCCCTACTTGATCAGCTCGAAAATGCTTTTACCATCAAGGAATCCCCAATATGGATGGACAGTAACACCACTGCTGAGTGTAGGAAGATTGAGGAAGCTTGCGGGGGAGCAATGGAGTTGGCTCAAGTGACAGGATCACGAGCATATGAAAGATTCACTGGTCCCCAAATCAAGAAAATATTCAATAAGCAGCCAGAAGTTTATAATAACACTGAGAGAATCTCCCTTGTTAGCTCTTTCATGGCGTCTCTTCTTCTTGGCGCTTATGCTGCTATTGATCACTCTGATGGTGCAGGCATGAATTTGATGGACATAAGGGAAAAGGACTGGTCCAAATTAGCACTTGAGGTTCGTAATGCTAGTATCATCCATATAGTTCATGAACCTGTCTTTCACCATAGATGGAGGTTTTAGTGATACCAAATTTAGATTTTTCTATCAAACCAACTTGATCTAATTCTCATGGTTATTGCAGGCAACTGCCCCTAATTTGGAGTCAAAACTTGGGAAATTAGCCCCAGCGTACGCTGTTGCTGGAAATATTGCTTCATATTTTGTAGAGAGGTATGTTGCGCATAGTTTTGAATCTTGAAGTGGAAGTCAACTGGCTGAGGTGCGAGTTTTTTCTTCCAGCTCCTTTTATACAGGCTGAACATCAGAATGACGGATTACTGCAACTATATGCTCTAAATGAGTGCAAATGCAGACAAAATTTATTTAGAAATTGGTCAATTCCAATGTCTTGTTTGCAATTTCTTGTAGCTTGATAGCATGCCAACAAAAGAATCACAACTAATCAAAATTTTAGTTTGATGGAAACTATAGCGTTGGTTTTCATTGCTAATATTATTTTCTCTTCAATATTTGTCACAATTAAATTTGACGACCAAATCAGCATACAAGTAACCTAGTTGTCCTGTAGAATGTGTGACTGAGATATATTTCAAGTTAAATTATATTCCTATGTGGTCAATGTTTTCTGTTGCTTGTTTTGCATAGGTTTATGTTGCAATAATATATAGACTGTATGCAATAGAACTTTGTGCATTCATTTGCTGGCTGAAATGTCCTAAATTATCTTATGTTTGGAATGCTAAGATTGACCCTTAAATTTATTTATCTCTGATAAGGTACCACTTCAACAAGAACTGCTTGGTCATTAATTGGTCAGGAGACAATCCTAACAGTGTTGCAGGTGACTCCATTTCTTCACTCCTAACATCTGCTGCCACCCACGCACGCACGCACTATTCTATTTCCTGCTATATTTACGAAAACTTTAAACCTCTTTGAATCTGCAGGTTTAACCCTGAATGTTCCCGGAGATCTGGGGATTAGCCTCGGCACTAGTGACACAGTAGGTTAAGATATTGTGTCGTCTTAATTATCTTACTCCTGCCCTGCTCTTTCAATTTAATGAATGATAACTGCTACAAAACTTCTAGATCTATGGCTTGTTTCAAGGCTTATTTCTGAATATCTAATATCATTATCCCTATAGAGGAAAATTGCAATATGGTTCATTCTCACCTTGACTTTGAATTATAACGTATTCTTACTCACCTATCAGGTGTTTATGATCACTAAAGATCCTAATCCAGGACTAGAAGGACATGTTTTTCCTAGTCCAGTTGATTCTGAAGGTTACATGGTAATGTTGGTTTACCAAAATGGGTCCCTTACCCGAGAAGGTATTGTTGTTAACTGATATATATTGCTGTGCGCATAGTCCATTTGCCATACGCAATTTCTCACTCCTGGACTTCTCTCAATAATCAGATGTACGCAACTGCTTTGCTGAGAAATCTTGGGATACTTTTAATAAATTTCTGCTGCAAACACCACCACTGAATGGTATGTATCGTTCTCTGAGATTTTGTGACTGTTACGTGGTTTTGATTCTAACATCACTTTGTTAATAGGTGGAAAGTTAGGTTTCTACTACAAGGAAAATGAAATCCTCCCTCCTCTCCCAGGTGGCTTTTTATTTTCGTAATAAATTACTTGGATGGCAGTGATAAATAAACTTCCTCAGATCATTATGTTACTTACCTTTTCTTTTCCATTCTACCAGTTGGTTTTCACCGGTATGTGATAGAAAATTTCACGGGTGATACACTGGATGGACTCACAGAACGTGAAGTGCAGGAATTTGATGCTCCTTCTGAGGTTAGATTACATACATGGCAAACCATCTAGTAATTGAAATCCTATTTGAACTTCTTTATTGAACGGCATTCTAAATTACAGGTGCGAGCAATAATTGAGGGTCAATTTCTCTCAATGAGAGCTCACGCAGAAAGATTTGGCATGCCTTCTCCTCCCCAACGAATAATAGCCACAGGTGGAGCATCTGCAAATCATTCCATCCTTAGCTCAATTGCATCAATTTTCGGCTGTGATGTTTATACAGTGGAAAGACCTGGTAAGCTATGAAAATCATCTAGTTCTTTTTAATAAAATTCAGATATTATTTTTCTTTTTCAAAGATTTTTATTCACTAAGGTGTTTTCTTTGTCATTTGGTAGTGTAAGTGATGAACTTAACTGATATTTTTCAACATGAACAGATTCTGCATCTCTTGGAGCTGCATTGAGGGCTGCCCATGGCTTTGTTTGCAGCGAGAAGGGAAGTTTCATTCCCATTTCTAACTTGTACATGCACAAATTGGAGAAAACGTCCCTGAGCTGCAAGCTTTCAGTCAAGGCTGGAGATGAGAAGCTGGTCTCCAAGTATGCCTTGTTCATGAAAAAGAGAATTGAGATAGAGAATCGTCTGGTGCAAAAGCTTGGACGCGTCTGAGTCGAAATTTGCTATCTTTCTCTATCATGTTGAGAAGGACGAAGATGTGATCAAGATGGCTGTCAATAGAATAAGGTGGGTATCACAATGTGATCTAGGTGGCTGTCAATAGAATAAGTTGTATATCACAATGATTTGCTTGAATGAGTTCTTTCTTTCTCTCCATCCTTTTTGGGAATCAGCTGTCTTTCAATTTGAGAAACACGAGGTTTTTATGGTTTGGTTTTCTATTGAACTGAATTTTATTGTTTTTACTTTGAAAATATTTTTGGTGGATCAATTGTGGGAGTGTGTTTGAAAGACCCTCCAAAATCAAGTTTTCTAGTCTGCACTCGTAAATGTAAAAATATTTAAATGGAACATTTTAATCTGTTGGAACGATGGTAAAATTTTTCACATTTATGCGAAGCCAGAGTTCATGAGTCAACTCATCTTTTTTGTTAACATTATTATTTTTTAAATAATTGTGTTTGCTTTTGAGGGCCAGTTTAGTTTCATTTTGTATTAAATTTAAATTACTTTTTG